CAGTTTGCGAGCGCAAATTACTGCACGCAAAATTGGATCTTGATAAATCCGGCCCAGAGTATGCAAAGCAACATTTCATTTAGTACAGCTTTTCATACAGTAAAGAACATTTCCATTCCATAAAGTGCAGCAGGGATCAAATGTAAACAGTGTGGGAGAAAAAAAAAGATGGAACAATTTATTCGAACCTTTGAGGATGGGTTATTTATCATTTTGTAGGGCTGTGAAATGTTCATAAAGGAAAGAAATGAGTTTTTGAGTTATTTTAAAGTAATAATAAAAGAAAAGAAAAATGAATTACGCTATATGTGGTCATATTACATGAAACACTGCTTCTGAATGAATAAGCAAAAATAATATTCAATCAGCATGTTCTAATATATGGCTCATTATTATCTGAATTTAAATAATATATAACTTAATAAGAAAAAATCACTTGACTTTAGTTACATTTTGGAATCTATTAATCAATAGGAACGATCAAACATTTCCAGATAGAGTCATTAAATAAACACAAGCCTCTGAAATCAGCTTTTCTAACTGAAAAAATAGAGACAATGTGGTTTTGGTTTAGATGATGTCTTTATTAAAGTATGTGTCATAAAACTAAAGGAAGGAGAGAACTGTTCAATGGGCCTGGGAAAGATTAGCAATGTTTAAAACTTGTTAATGGTTATAAAGCCATTGTGAAAAGTTGGGAAAGGTTTTGTACAAGCTGCCATTTCTCAGAACTGTCGTGGTTTTGGTTCTGTTCAAGTTTTATCTCCGAGTTTCCATTGGTCTTATTTTCATTTTTGTGTTCCAGCTATTTTTGATTGTATTTAAGTTCTTGGATGTTTCCTGTTTGCCCTCTTGTGTCAGTCTCCTTCTCCTAGCTCCCTTCTAGCCTCCTCTGTTCACACCTGCTCCCAATCTGCTAATTAGCCTGGTCTTTGTTCCTCTCTCCCATATATTCTCCTCCTGTTCAGTCACTCTTGGCTGGTTTACGCTGTCAAGTGGAGGTGGAGGTTTTACAGGGGGACATAAATGCAGACACTGAAGCTTAAGGTGGTTACTTGAAGATTTAATAATAAAAGGTTAACAGAAGCAACATTTGAAAAACATAAATCCTAAGAATTCACAAAAATAGAGAACCAGGAATAATTACAACCAGGGGGCAAATAAATGACGGCAAACCAGCAAAGAGTGACTGAACAGGAGGAGAATATATGGGAGAGAGAAACAAAGACCAGGCTAATTAGCAGATTGGGAGCAGGTGTGAACAGAGGAGGCTAGAAGGGAGCTAGGGAAAAGGAGACCGACACAAGAGGGCAAACAGGAAATATCCAAGAACTCAATATACAATCAAAAACAAGTAAAACACAAAAATGTTAATAAGACCAATGAAAACTCAAAGATAAAACTTAAACAGAACCAAAACCGTGACAAGAACAATCCGAAACTTTCAAAGTAAAGTCATTCCAAGAGGAATCAACCAATCAATCGATATTAGAAACATGGGAGAGGGTGTGTTATGAGCTGGATTTTATTATTATTGGATGTTAACTTGTAAAATAATGAAAATATAACAAAACAAATAATAAACCAACCAAAAAGGATCAATTTTGCTCAAGCAATGAAGAGATAGAATATAAACATTCAGGTTTATTATTAGCAAAGCAAATTACAAGTCATTTAAGTCATGATGATCTACTTTAAGTAGTAGCAGAAACTCCAGGGAACTATTTAGACAATCTGTTCTCCAGTGTTTACAGCTCTATTGAAATGCCAGAAGTCTTTAAGATAAGAGAGACAATTCCAAAGATTTTAAAGAAACTTTTTCACCATCCATTGTAATGGATTCCAGCAACCTTGTCTATTAACCTATTTTTTCAAATTCAGGATTGAAAAGTCTTTTCATAAATCAAATATAACTGTAAACCTGATCAGCTTAAAAGCAGTCCATCTTTTATTTTAACATTTTTAAAATGGTATCAAAAGGTTACACAGCATTAGAGTCTATAAATACCACTTCTCAACAATAACCGTATAAAATGTTTTTACAAAATGACAGTGACTCAAAAATGACAATTTAGTTCAGTTCATTTCTATAGCGCCAATTCACAACACATGTGATCTCAAGGCACTTTCCAGTTCACCAGATCATCCAGTCAGATTGATTAATTGACTCTTCAGCAATCCCTCACACTAAGCATGCTTGTAGCGACAGTGGAGAGGAAAAACTCCCTTTGAACAGGAAGAAACCTCCAGCAGAACCAGGCTCAGTGTGAGCGGCCATCTGCTGAGGCCCACTGGGGTTCAAGGAGACAGAAGCAGACATAGAAAAAGAAGCATAGATACAAAAGGCAACTGTCAACCAGCTCCACAGGCGGCCCCGTCCAGGAAACACACGAGCTCCGAGCCAGCTCCCATGTCAGAGGATGAAGAGAGCACATCCAGTTAGTCACAGTCAGAGAAACAGGACTACGCTGGAAAACAGGCCAAGCTCCAACATCTAGAAACAAAGGTGGATTAGAGGAGACGCAAACTGTTTAGGGGGCTGCAAAGTACTAGTATTGTTCTTCAATCGATGGCAATTTCCTACATTTTTATAGATCTATAATAGGGGTTGCCTAGCCCTAAACAGAAGCCGTTTCTTCCCCCCCAAAAAACCCCAAGCATGTCTAAATCTCTCAAAGTCTTCTACAATCTAATAAAAAAACCTTCAATTTCAGGGTTAGTTTTGTATACCATGATTAGTACAAAAGCGATTTTGCGTGACACCTGAAGAACTTTACAGCGCCACTGGACGATGGTAATGGCTAATCCTTCTTTAGATTAAAGTCAGTTTGTTCAAGTGGAGGAAATTCTGTATACAGTAGCTGTGAAATCCATCGGCTTCAACCAAAAACCTGAAAGAAGCTACAGAAATTCTGTGTATTTCTCTTTATTTTTGTTGCCAGACCCGTGAAGAGTGGCAGTACGTCTTCCTCATCGCCTCCCTTGTGCATTATGGCGGAGTCGTGTTTTACGGGATCTTTGCTTCCGGGGAGAAGCAGCCGTGGGCCGACCCCGAGGAAACCAGCGAGGAGAAGTGTGGCTTCATAGACGAGGATGAGCTGGCTGAGGAGACGGGTGACATCACACAGAGCTACGGCGCCATGGGTGGTCCTGCTAAAAGCTACGGGGCGACGGCACAGCTCAACGGAGGCTGGGTGCAGGACTGGGACAAGACAGAGGAATACGTTCAGGAACCAGCAGGAAAGATTTATGCCCAGCGTGGCTACTCTTAGACCTTACATCCATGGTGAGCCTGCCTAGTAAACAGGCGCACCATTAGCGATTGCACAAGCGTTGGATAGAAATCTAGACATTTTTGTTTTTGTAGTTTGACATGAAATCTAAAGTAGTTTATTGCAAATAAGAAAAGTAATCCTCATTAAATTATTGTTTTTCATACGTGCATATTGTAGGGCTTCACTAAATATACGGAAAGCAGTTGCAACGCAAACTGCTGGTGTTTGCTAGGCACCCAAACCTCATTGATCTACTTGAACAACATGAGCCAGACGACACTGCAGATGACCATCAGGTAGGGCAGGGGTCGGCAACCCGTGGCTCCAGAGCCGCATAGCGGCCTGGAGCGTTTTCAAAAATGTTTGAACATTTTTATTTATTTGTATATTCATTATGTTTTCTAAATGTAAACATATATTTCAATGAACATTTGCGTGATAGCCATAGATATCAGTGGTCATAGCCTGCAGCAAAGGAAGATAGCTGATTCGAACAGAGGATTCAAAGAAGAGTGGAGAGAATCATTAGCTTTCATTATCAATGAGGAAGGATTGCCTGCATGCAAGTTCGGACTGGGAACGATTTTCGGCCCTGGTATTGGCCCACTTATGGACCGGTTCATAAACCGCCTGGATATACGAAATCTCGCCCAATTTGATCCAAAGTCTATTGATCTCTCAGGCCATAAATCTAAAGAAAAACATTTTTTTATCCATAGACGGCCATCCTAAACTGCCAGATTGGGAAAAATCCCAACCAATGCATGTAAGACGGGAAACCTTAGCCTTTAGATGAAAAACCCCATCATGCATCGCAACATTTTTTTGCTAAATATTCCAACATAAATTTTCCAAATATACGACAAACATCGCAGTTTGGTTTAAAGAAAGCCTTTTTAGTTTTATTATAATTTAGTTTGTTGCAAGGATTTTACAGTTTGAAGAAATA